ACATTTGACCTTTAGTTGACCTCCAGTGACCTTCGAAAGGTCAGAATTGTTGATTTTTCAAATCGAGTTTTTGGATTCAAATTTAGGGTTAGCCTAAGCATAAAAGACCTACTGAGTTCAAAAACAGTAATAATTTCAAGGTCACGGGTCACGGTTATCAAATTAGGTCAAAGGTCAAAATCTAGGTCAAATCTAATTTTTTTTAAGTTTCTCAACTTTGTCCTTATACTTCATTATTTCTTGCGATGAATTAAACTAAAACTACATTTTAGTATTTCCTACAAATTATTCACTAGATGTCAGCATTAAATTTTTACCGCTTTTGAGATATTTGACGTCAAAAAACGGTCGAAAAATGTCATTTTTCAACTTGCTTCAATCTGACCAATTATTTTTTTTAAAATCATCTACAAGTTCCCATGAGTCCAAAGCTGACCTCAGATTTGAGCTTTGACCTTTAGTTGACCTTCAATGACCTTCGAAAGGTAAGAAAAGTTGATTTTTCAAATTGAGTCTTTGGATTCAAATTTAGGTCAGCCTTATTACAAAAGACCTACTGAGGTCTAAAAAAGTAAAACTTTTCAAGGTCAAAGGTCAAGATCATGAAATTAGGTCACAAACTGTGCTATCTAAGTTTTGCAAAGTTCGAGACTACAAACCAATATTTTTAATCCGAAGTTGAAATATACACATTCCTCTAAGGGTTCTACACATATTAGCAATTGACTATCTAATAGAATTTTGTCCAAGTTTGAGATATAAGAGTTCAAAAGTTGAAAAAAGGTCAATTTCGAAATTTTTCAAGGTCAAATTTAAACTTGCTTCAAATTGACAAAATCTTTTTTTTGAAAATCATCTACAAGTTCTCAGGAGTTCTCATCTGACCTCAGATTTGATATTAGTCCTTTAGTTGACCTTCAAATTGTCAAAAATGCCTAAGAGGGCCTCCGTGAGATTGCTTGCAATCTTCCAAAGTCTAGTTTATGTGTAAAGGCCAGTTGAGCCCAAGTTTTATAGTTAAAACATCAAAGTTTTGATTTGATATTATTTTAAAGGTATATTCTGAATTATAAGTTATTGATTTAGATTTAGATGTACAAATTACGATTAGGTTAGGATAAGAAATTAAGTTTAGAGTCATTACAAAAGTTAGAACAAAGAAACAAAGAAGTCAAAATGAACACAAATAAATATACTTCACCTGGAAATCTACAAGGAGAGAACAACACAAGATAACAGTGGTACACACAACTTTACCCCCATACTGTATCCTGTATTATTCCATAATAACATGTTTTCTCCGAGAAAATAACACGGAATAAAATTAATATTCCAAAAATCCCGTATCAGATCCCGTATCAGCCAAAATCCCGTATCAGATCCCGTATCAGAACTATCAAAAAAAAATTCATGAGACTTAATAGTGTGTCATTATGGTGTATTGTGATCCATATTAGTATTATAAATTATTTCTATAATGAAATTTGTTAATAAAAGTTGAAAATGTCATTCGATAGATTAGATTGTATCATTTAATGCCACCATCATTGGTGACGACATAAAAAAACAAGTTTCAGAAAAATATTATGGAATAAATAGGTTATTGATGGTCGTGATGGAATATGAATTTTTCCTCGAGAAAATATGATATTGGCCTCGGAAAATATCATATTTACACTCGGGCTGTCGCCCTCGGTCAATATGATATTTTCCTTGGTATTCATGGTGGTATTCATTTTAAACGCTTTTTTGACATGAAGTTCGGTTTCTCGTCCCAAGACAACCCATCACTATTTTAAAGAAATACGTATGAAATACAAATAAACAGCCCTCCAAACATTACGATCGTTACTCCTTTCCAAGTAGTGTCAAATGAACGACCCTCAAAACATTATGATCGTTGCTTCTCGCCTAATAATGTCAAAGGAACAGCCCTCCAAGCATGATCGCTGTAATTTTCCTAGTAATGTCAAAAGAACAGCCCTCCAAGCATGATCGCTGTAATTTTCCTAGTAATGCCAAATGAACAACCCTCCAAACATTATGCTCATTCCTCATCGTCCGTTAATGTCAAATAAAAAGCCCATCAAACATTATGTTCATTGCTCTTCGCCTAGTAATTCCAAATGAACAGCCCTCCGGACATGATTATTATTCCTCTCTTAGTATTGTCAAATGAAGATGGTTGCTTCTCACTTAGTACTTTCAAATGAACAGGCCTCCGAATATTATGATCTTATTTGTTATTTCACCTTCTAGTAGTGTTGAATGAACAGCCCTTTTGCATTGTAATCTGTATCTGTTGCATGCTCCTATAGGTTATTTACTGGGAGGCATTGAATATGGGTTTTATTCCGAGGGACTATATGATATTGACCGATGGGTAATATGATATTGACCGAGGGATCGCAGCGACTGAGTGTCAATATCTTATAGCCCAAGGTCAATATCATATTTTCCGAGGAATAAAACCCATATTCAGTCCCGACCAGAAATAACCTTTTTATTCCATAATACTACTGTTTTCCCAGGGAAATATGAAGGAATAAAAATCGTATTGAATCGTATTACATGAAAAATCGTATTGTCCCCGGGAAAAAATCGTATTGGAGCGTATTACATGAAAAAATCGTATTGTCCCCGGGAATATAATCGTATTGGAACGTATTAACCTATTTTCGGTTTCCCAATTATTTTTGACCTTGGCTAATTGATAAAAGCATTATCATGATGTAACATTTTAGAGGAATGAATTATGGAATAAATAGGTTATTTCTGGTCGGGATTGAATATGGGTTTTATTCCTCGGAAAATATGATATTGACCTTGGAAAATATGATATTGACACTCGGTCGCTGCGCTCCCTCGGTTAATATCCAATACCCTTCGGTCAATATCATATTGTCCCTCGGAATAAAACCCATATTCAATCCCTCCCAGTAAATAACCTATATTTATACCATAATACACCCCTCTAAAATGCTACATTTGCATAATGCAGATAACCGACAAAAAATAACCGGGAAACAGAAAATAGGTTAATATGCTCCAATACGATTTTTCCCGGGGGCAATACAATTTTTTCATGTAATACGCTCCAATACGATTTTTCCCGGGGACGATACGATTTTTTCATGTAATACGATTCAATACGATTTTTATTCCTTCATATTTCCCCGGGAAAACAGTAGTATTATGGAATAGTATCGACCATGCACGTGTGTATTAGCCATTTTGTGTATTAGCCACCTTCAATCACTCGTATAGGCTCGTATATTAACCATTTCGATTACATACTGTGCATTGACCTACTCGTATATTGGCCATCTAAATGCGAGTAGAAATAATCTTGATTTACGTAATTAAAAATTCAATATGATATCAAATTTGAAATCTACTTGTAAAATGCATCAAGAAATGTTGTTTTAAAAAGTGTTAATCAATTTTGAAGATGTTACTTCTAGGTCGGGGAGATTCTGCATAGACCCCATGTTTATAAATATTCACAAAAAGGGAAATATCTTTTCTTTTATAGGATAGTTAATATTTCCTTTTGGTGACTGGACATATTTTGATTTGTATAACTAGCAGGGTGACATGAAAATTGAACCAATAAAACTGATGAATATTCAAGTTAAAGGGAATTTTCTAATACTCTCCCATGTCAATGTCATCTGCCCAGAATTAGCCACCTGGTGGTGAGACTAGTAACTACCTACTCGCATCTGGGTTATTGACCACGTACATTGATCACCTCGTTTGCTGATCACATCGTATATCGATCACCCCGTATATTGATCATTTCGATTACGTACATTGACCTCCTCGCGTATTGGCCATCTTTTGAAATGATCACGTACTTGATCACCTCGTATACTGATCACATCGTATACTATATCGATCACATCGTATGTTGATATACATATGGGCCGTAGAATGCTCTCTAAAAGTTATAATCTAAAGTAGAAATAATTCCAACATATATTCATGTTAATTTCAATAAACTATTTTTAAAGTATGGCCATTGTAATTGATCAACACATATATTACTGTAAACGCTTAAATAACAATAAGTTAATGGCATAATAAATAATGAACCGTGTGGATGTTTTAAATGACGTGTATCTTGCATTTGGGCGGAACATTTGTCTACAGATTTCAGTGACAACAAAATAAAAAGGTTCATTTCAGCATATAAAATTAAAATTATAAAGATATTTAATATTACGATTTCGGTTGGTATCATTTAATCAACGAGTCGACATCAATGTCAACACAAGAGATTTTGAGAACGATATTGATTTCAATGGATGAATTAAGAGTAATTGTAATGTGATATCGGATTGTTCTAATGAGTACATACATTTTTGACATGTTGAAGACATATACCATTTCGATGTTTTTGGTTTTTTAGAGTGTCGTATACAACAACAGTACCATGACAATACCGCACTTATACCACACCACAGCGCTCTTGCACAATGCCAGTGCAGCTCTTGTATCATACACAAGTTCCGCTCTTGAAATCCCTCAATACTGACAAATGGAACGCCCCTTGGAACACTAAATCAAGCAAATGCGTCAAGCCACGTAAGCATTTAGTGGCATAACTGCGCATTTTATCAACATATCTGAACTGTATAGTGCAAAAGTTCCAGAGGGACCGAAAGATTGGAAGATGTTTATTACTTTTATAGTAATGCTATTTGTTGCACAAGCTATCGTAGCTGATAGCAAATTATTGAGTAAGTTGTACCTGTTTGTATGATTTTCCTTTATCGTTTATAATTGTTGAACATAATTCGATTGAATCTTTTTTTTCTTTTTTTTTCTTTTTTTTTTTATTTCAGTTTATCAAGTACAGTTATACAATATTTTTACATACATATAGTACACAATAATTTCACATGACTTTTCTTATATATAGCTCTTGTTCTAATAAGTATTCTAAATTTGGATGTTGACCATATTTATACTTGCTAATACAGTTTTTTGTTATTAATACAATATTATTTACATAATTCTCAATATATTTTTTCTTATTTGTATATTTAAGCAAAATTTCCATTTCTGTTAATTTTATAGAGCATCCAAATTTTGCATTTATTTTGTTCATTATTTCTTTCCATATATGTTTTACCTTTTTACAAGAGATGAAGAAATGAGCATATGAGTCTTCTTCATTTCTGCAAAATTTACAATTGTTTGAGTTTGTCCCTTCAATTTTCCATTTAAATAGATGAATATTTGTGGGATATACCCTATGCAATATTTTGTACTGTAAGCTCTTTAATCTCGGTTCAGTAATATTTTGAATCATTTTCCAAATATCAGACCAATTAATATTTTGATATTCATTATTCCATCGTTGACAAGCTCCTGGTATGATATTTTCTTTTTTAATAATTAATTGTTTATAATCTTTCGACTTTGATATTTTTATAATGATATTATTGTACAATCTTTTATTCTGACCAAGTGCAATTGTCTTGTTTTTCAATGCATTTTGAATGACAAAATATTCAAGCGTGATAGCTGCATTGTTAGGCATCATTTGTTTGAAGATATTTATATTCTTTAGTTTCTGTTGATTGTCCAGTACATCATTTACCAAATTGATACCTGCATTTTTCCAATTTTTAAAAAATATAACTTTTCCCTTGTAAGTTATGTTTAGATTGTTCCAAATATAGCTATTATCAAATATGACATCATCACATGTTTTATATTTGAACCAAGTTTTCAAAAGGAATTCATAGAAGATGGTTGTATTCCCCCAAATAATTCGAGGTTTTATAAATTTTAAGTCTGAATTGAAATGAAAAATACTGAAATCAAATCCAATCTTTGATAACATCATTTTACTCATGTTTTTCCAATTTGAGTTTTCATCCTCAATAAAACGCCTGACCCAGGACATAATAAGTGCCTTTTGATTAACAAATATATCAACCATGTTGATTCCACCTTTTAAGTAAGGCTGTCTCAACACTTTACGTTTTATTTTTTCTGAACCTTTACCAGATTAACTCCATATAAATTTGTGTATTTTTGAATTGACCTGTTTTAAATATTTGTCTGGACATTTAAAAACCATTAACATATGCAACAATTGTGATGCAATCAAATTTTTAACAACACAGACTTTACCAACCAGTGACAAGTTGCGTTTACTCCAATTTTTCATTAAACATTATCATTTTTTTCAGTCCAATTTGATTCTATTAAATTTGCTGGTTTGTGGTTTGAAAAGTATGTCCCCAGTATTTTTATTTTAGCATTTTCACCTACTTCCCAGCAGATTCCTAAATGCTTTTCAATAATATTTTTATTTCTTCCGATCCACATTGCTTTTGTTTTTTCCAAGTTAAGTCTGAGTCCCGATGTTAAGTAAAATTTGTTTGTATCATCTAAAGTATGCTCTAACGATTGCAAATCTTTAACAAAGATGGTTGTGTCATCTGCATAGCTTGTTAACTTAATTTCAGTATTACAGTTTTGAATTTTAATTCCTTTCACATTTTGATTTTGACGAATTTTGCAAGCAAAGATTTCTGTTGATAATATAAAAAGTAATGAACTTAGTGGACAACCTTGCCTCAAACCTTGATCTAAATTGAAAAATTTTGTGAATAATCCATTATTAGAGACTGTTGACTGTGTATTTTTTGTGAAAATTTCTATCCATCTTTGAAATTCAGGACCAAAATTGAATTTTTCAACAACTTTATAAACATACTTCTTAGAAATAGAATCAAACGCCCGTGAATAGTCAAGAGCGACCATAATACCTTCAATGTCATCATTATAAACGTAATTCATTATGTCATCTATCAATCTTAAGTTTAGATGTATACCCCTTTCCTTCAAATATGCATTCTGGTCACTTTCAACCAATTTTTTGATTACAGTCTGCAGTCTGTTGGCCAACACAGTTGCCCCTATTTTATAGTCACAACAAGTTAATGATATAGGCCTGAATGATTTTAAACGATTTCTTGGAATATTTTTGCCTTTAAGTATTAATACTATTATTCCTTTCCTTTGACTGCTAGAAAGTTGCCCTGTCTGAAACCCATAATTTAATGAATTAACTACTAAGCTTTTTACTTTCGTCCAAAACATTTTGTAGAAGGCAGATGTTAATCCATCAATCCCTGGACTACTGTCAGATTTCATTTGTTTAATAGCTTGTGCACATTCATGTTCATTTATCAAACCTTCACATTTTAATTTGTCATTATCATCTAAAGATGGCATTTCAAGGTCTATTGCAAAATCATCTAACGTATAAATAATATCCCCATTTTCCTTATACATTTCACTGTAATATTTAAACAGTTTTTCCATAACTTCACTCATAGAGCTTGTATATACCCCATCATCCTCTAACACTTCAATGGCTTTCATTTTTCCATGACTTTTCTCTAATGATAAGAAATAGTTTGTATTCAGTTCACCTCGTTCTACCCATTTAACTTTTGATCTTAATTGTGCCCCTTTAGCTTTCTTATTTGTCTGAATATCATATTTTACTTGTAACTGTTGAACTCTATTAATATTTTGCGCATTTTGTTCATTTACTAGTTTATCTTGTGCCAATTTTAGCTCTATTTCAATCTGTTTTAACACACATTTTTCTCTAGAAGCACGAGTTTTGCTAAATCTTATACTTGCATCTCTAATAACACATTTACATGTATCCCATAAAATTTGATCGTTGACTACATTTTTATATGAGTTAACAGTGTCATCAATTAGTTTGTTTATCATTGATACATATTCTTGGTTTTTTAAAATTTCATTGTTTAGCTTCCAAAATCCTGTACCTCTGTCCGAGTTTTGCTCTTTTATAGAGACTGTAGTACCCATATGATCAGTATTTGAACATGGTATAATATCAGATTCAATAATGTTGTTACTGAGACTGTTATTGACAAAAATGTAGTCAATTCTTCGTGCAATAAAGGGATTATTCCTTGACCAAGTGTAACTCTTTTTATCAGGGTTGGAAGATCTCCAGACATCTACAAGATCATTCACATTAACAAAATTATTAAATGCCTGGACTACATTTACATTGTGAACATTTCCAGATATAATGTCATTATCATTGTTAATAACACAATTCATGTCTCCCGCAACAATGCAATCATTATCAGAATATTTCCCATAGATTTCAAGTAATTTTCTAAAGAACATAATTTTTTCCCCATCCTTGTTTGGAGCATATATGTTAAAAAGTGTTACATTTCTACCAGAATATTTTATCTTTATTATTTGCACCCTACCATCACAATTTGCATCAACTCTTTCAATCACTTCTATATCAGCTTTTTTGTTAATCAATATAACCTGCCCTCTACTTTTGTCACCTATACCAGGAATTCCACAGATTTCACCTCCCCATTGAGTTCTCCATGAATCATGTACATTGGTATTAAAATGAGTTTCTTGTAAGAATATTAAGTCAAAATCATGTTGTTTTATCCAATTAAAAATGTTTTTACGTTTTCTAGTGTTTTTCAGGCCTCTAACATTGAGTGAGCATATTCTCATGGTATGTTATTTGGGGGGGGGGGTTATTTCTTCTTCTTGTGGTGGTATTTTTCCTTTTTTGTAGGCTTTTGTCCGCTGGGTGGTGTAAATTCTGGAACTCTTTTACGAGATTGTTTATTTGGTGTTTCAAGTTCGTGGAGGTTTTTGTTTTGTTTGGATGGTTGTTTTTCTTCAGGATTAGGGTCATTTTCTGGTTCATGAAAGGTATCATCGTCACTTTTGTCGCTTGTGTCTGTGTCATCATTTTCAGATGTGACTATTTGGTGTTGCACTGGTGGCAGCTGTGCTGAACATTGGTTTCTATCTTGATTCATTTTTGCTTCATGATTTAGTGAAGGCTTTGTTGTCTGTTCTTGTGTTTCTCCTCGCTTTGTTTCTGTTTTGGCTGTTTCTGTGTTATGAGCCCAATTGAAAAAAGCCTATGGAAAATCATCTCCAATTATCACCTAACTTACTATTGATAATTAGTTGAAAGTTAGGTGTAAAAATTCACATGCAAATGAGCTAATTATCAACTTAATTAACGCTTAATTTGCAACTTAATTAACGATTAACTACCATCAATATGCAAATGAGCTATTTACGTAAATTAGTTGAAAGTTAGTTGTAAGTTTGATGTAAGTTAATCTCTAATTATCACCTAACTTACTATTGATAATTAGTTGAAAGTTAGGTTTAAGTCAGATTTGTGACATCTCAAAAATGACTCGCTTCTTTTTTGCTTCCCTTCACTCGGAGATTTTTGCTTCATCTTGTACTATTTTGTGACGGAATATTCATCTTAATTAAGATCTTTCAGAACAGACAACACTGAACTTGAACTATTGAAATTTCACAGCAAGAGGAGGGAAAACCCCATGATTCAATTGATGACATAAGATTTCCTCCTTCGCATACCTCCTTTTGTCGAAAACGTACCCTCCATCTTGGTTTTTAAAGTTTTCAAATTGACCTAGATTTAAACCAATCAACGATCGACTCGCTAAACCAATCAGCGACGATGTCATCTCAATACAGATTTACATTATAAGCATATGTCATCTTTGAACCCTGGGGTTTCTCCCCCTCTTTTTTAATTCTATTTTGCAAATTTTTAAGATTCATGAAAAGCATGTGAAAACATCATCATTGCCATCAACAACTAAAATCAGAACACAAACATTAGACTATAATGTTACATAATAAG